GGGGGGGGGGGGAGAAATGTGGGGAGTATCTTTCTCCTTCTCAGTTGAGGGCCACATTAGTGAGGGTTTTTTGCCTTATCAAGTGTGTGGCTCTAACTGTTTCTGTTGGTCAGTGGCCCCCCAACCCAAAAAAAAGTTCCCTACCTCTGCCATAGACAGATAATGCATATGCCTACAGTAATGTTAAAGAGCATAATATAAGAATGGCCATACTGGATCAGACCAAAGGTCCATCTAGCCCAATATCCTGACTGCCAACACTGGCCAATACCAGATGCCGCAGAGGGAGGGATCACAACAGGTAATCCTCATGTGATCCCTCCAGTCACTTACCTCCAGAGAAAGATGCTAGGAATAGCCAAGATGGTTAAGAATGGTAATAGCCATTGATGGACCTAACCTCCATGAACCTATCTAGCTCTTTTTTGAACCCTGTTAATGTTCTAGCCTTTACACTACATCCTCTGGCAAGGAGTTCCATAGGTTGACATTAGGCCAAGTGAGGAAAGCTTCCTTTTGTTGGTTTTAAACCTGCCATCTTAGTTTTATTTAGTGACCCATAGTTCTTATATTGTGGGAACAACTTTTCCTTATTCACTTTTTCCATACCAGTCATGATTTTATAGACCTCTATCATATCCCCTCTTAGTCTCCTCTTTTCTAAGATGAAAAGTCCAAATTTTTAATTTTTCTTTGTATGGGACCCATTTCAAACCCCTAATCATTTTTATTGCCCTTTTCTGAACCTTTTCCAATGTCAATATCTCTTTGAAATGAGGCAACCACATCTGTACGCAGTATTCAAGATGTGGACGTACCATAGTTTTATATAGAGGCAATAAACTGTTTTCTGTCTTATTCTCTCTCTCTCTAATGACTCCTAACATTCTATTTGCGTTTGACTGCTGCTGCACACTGAGTGGATGTTTTCTGAAAACTATTCACAATTAGTCCAAGATCTCTCGAGTAGTTGTAGCCAAATTAGTCCCCATCATATTGTATATATAGTTGGGATTCTCCCCCCCATGTGCATTACTTTACATTTAACATTAAATTTCATTTTGTTGCCCAATCACTAAGTTTGGTGATATCTATCCTAGGTTTTGGTAGCTAGTGAGTCCTATTCTACAACGGGCACAGCTTTCTGGAAATGGTTTTCAGTTGTATTTGATCAAGGTTTAGATTAATGCTACTAGACTTACTTTGTCAAACATCCTGTTTAACAATCTTGGTACTACAGGAAATACAGTTGGTTGCAGTGTTTTTAAGTCATCCATAAGTAGTCTGATATCTCCCTGGAAGAATCCTATCCGAGCTCCATGGCAGAGAATCACACACTGTTAAGAGAACAAAACTTTTAATATGGGAGTTATTGTTAGCGAGATACATTTAGAGTAGGTTAAACTGATCGGATATTTTATCTAAGTCTTGACAGCTGCCATCCTACCCATGGTAAGTCTTCCAAATTGTTATAGTAGGGCTGCAGTGTTGGTTATGGGAGGGAGCCTCTTGAAGTATTTCAGTTCAGTGTAGGATAGGAACAATGAAGCACAAAGGGGGAAAAACAGTAACTGCAGAAGCAGGCTAGGGACCTTAAGACAGAGAAATAAGGCACAGGAGGAGCCTAGCAGCAGAAGCGAGCCACAGTGGTTGGAGAGGTAGGCAAGGAGCTGGTACGGACTGAAAAGCAAGCAATAGCAAAGTTGTACTTGTGACTATAGGAAATCTAGCCACACCTATTAAAACACTGAAGCCAAATACAAAGCATGACATCTATTCACATTTATTTGGTTTCCCTATTGTAGTTCAATAAGTCCATGTATCTGTACTTAGGGTAGCACTTTCAGTCTGACAATATGGAGTCTGTCTTCACCTCTTTAGTCTTCTTGCTCATATCCACTTAATGGTGAGTACTAACAGCATCTGAGGCAGGTAGGGGTTTCAAGGACATGCAGATTGCAACTACACAACACTGCACTGTTCATAATATGTGCAATTGCATACTGGGCCATGAAAATATGCATGTTGATGCCCAATAGATGTCCTGGATTGGGATATTGGCCAAAGAGGCAGTTGAAGAGGCCTGTGTGCTGGTCCAATGAATCTTAACCAATTCTGGAGGCAGACCACCAGCTAGGTCATAACACGTACTGATGCAGCTGGTGATCAGTGTGGACATCCTCTGTGACGACCTTTCATCCTATCTGCATAAGCCACAAATAGTTGTGGAAGGGCTTTGTTCTCTTCAGATAAACATGAGCGCCCTACTGAGGTCCAAAGCACTGAAAAGTCTCTCCTCATTGGTCATATGAGGCTTTGGATAGAAGTCAGAAAGGAAGAGGTCCTGGCCCATGTGAAACAGACCACCTTTAGGAGAAGAGCCTGGTGCAATCTAAGCTGCACCTTATCCTTGAAGATAGTGTAAGGTGGTTCTGATGTTTGCCAGAAGAGGATCCAGGTGCTGACAAAACAGTGACAAGGAAAGCCACCTTTTGCAAAAGAAGTGAGGGGGAGGAGGGAAAAAAGGAGAAGAGGACCAAGTTAAGATCCCACTGAGGAAAGAGGGGCCAGAGCCTATTGAGAATAGACTTTCCAGACCATCAAAAAAGCAGTTCATGAGATGTGAGACCATGCAAGACCTTGAATCGGTGGATGGAAGGTTAAAGGTGCTGTGAGATGCACCTTAAGTGAGGGTGAGACCTTTGTGTTTCAGGTGCAAGGTAGAGGATCAGCTGAAACAGTGCTTTGTTGGGGTTGATTTCTTAATGGGAGACCCAAACAAAGTCCATTTTGCCATGAAGGCCTGGTTGAAAGCTTCCTTCTCAAGGAGGATGTGTTGCACCTCTGCTGAGCAGGCTACCTCCGGTGTGTTCAACCATGGAGCAGCTATGCCATTAGGTGGAGTGGTCAGAGGTCTGGATGGGGGAGGTGGCCGTGGTCCTGGAACAAGAAATCTGGGTGAGGTGGCAACAGGCCCACTTCAGGAGGCTCAAGAGAGTGCCAAACTAATACTGGCACAGCCATGCTGGTGCAGTTAGAATCACCTCTGGAGTCCTGTTGGATCTTTTGGAGGATCTTGCTGATCAACAGGAACAGACAGACGAAGTACTTTCACTCCACCTACTTAGAGATCAGTTGTATCGATGAGGAGGTTTGCCAGAGTGCCTGAATCATCTTGGCTACCACTTTGTGCAGGGGTAGAGCTAGTCTGGTGGGTACCCCCTGGCTTAAAACCCCCAAAGAGAAAGTCAGACATTTCATGGGATTTCGAACCTGGATCTCCAAGTGGCAGCCACCACCCTCCTGAGGAAGTCCTGATGAGCCTTTATATGATTCAGAAGACCACTGGAGATGCCACAAAAGCCTCAGGTGATAAGATGTGGGTTGGCCCACCGGCCCCTCTTCCAGGGATGCAAGTTGATTCCCCACTCCTTCCTCCACCTGAGGGGTAAGTTGTCTGCCCACCTCCAGTGCCTGAACACAGCTTGCAGGGGGAGGGCAGGGGAACCAAGGGAGGCTCTGATGCTCCAGCCACCAATCAGGCTGCCTAGATTTAAAACTAGAAATCCCAGGGAGTCCATAGGCACCATTGTATTTGCCACTTCAGGGTGAGGCCACCTACACCAATGGCTGCTAAGGCCCAGGGCGCAGTGCTGAGGTCTGTGCCAAAGGCAGGGAGGCTGAGTTTGATGCAGCACCTGCCAAGTGGATGATGGGAGAGGCCCATGACATGGAGTGTACTTTGTACTCCCTCTGGTACGGAGATCCTGGTGACAAGTGAGGTGCTAAGATCATCTGGTTAGTGGGTTCCTTCTATCCTATGAGATGGTGACTGCTGGTGTCAGGATGTGGATCTGGATTGATATGACCACCTATCACACCAAGAGCAGCTCAGGAACAGTGAGTAACAGCATCAAGGGGAGTGGTGTAACAGAGAAGGAGACTAGTCCCTGGAGCAATGAGACTCATGGGGAGAAACTCTATAGTGCCACGGCAGTCATGGGCATGTGCCTCAACTGGCCTTTGCTCTGAGCCATGTGACACTAGGGACTCTGTCTGGTCCTGGCCTGTCCCTCTCTGCCCTGGTGGGGCTACGAGGGGCTCAGTCTGCATATGCTGGGGATTGAGCACATTGGGTGCTCCCTGATCATGTGATAAAAGATGGTTTTCCGTATCCAGGGCCTGACTGACTGCAAAGATAGCACCAGCATGGTAAGTACATCTTGCGCTGCCTGGAAGGCTCTGGCATGGAGAAAGTCTGCGTGTCCAAGGTAAGTAGCAAAGAATGAGCAGTGCTGCCATGGTTAGTCTGCACTGGGGTCATGTCCCTGTGGTGATCTGCAGGCTTTTCCCCCTCACCAGGAACTGAAAGCCCTCATCAAATCATCCACATTAGCCACAAGTGCTGGAGGTAGGGGTGCTCCTAGAAATGGTTTCATCATATACAGGATTTACAATTTGTATGGCAGAGGTGCTGAGAACCACTGAATCAAACTGCTCCAGCACCTGTGATATTAGTGTTTGAATAATCAATAATTCAATTAAGCCCATAATACAGACTATCAATATAGTTGTCAAATCCTTTACCCCAAATTAGGAGTTCAAGCACCTTGCCAAAAAAAAAAATCATGCAGTCTGGTACAACAACTCAGTTTCATTGGCTTTCAAATCCTCTAAATGAAAAACTACCCACAAGTCCAACAATCTCACTCCCTGGAAGATTAGAGGCACCAGTTCAATATGAGATGACAGGGTGGTCACAAAGCCTTTTGGGGGTGATTTCTGGTGTACTGACAAGGCCACTGCCATCCTCCTTCTTGCTCTCTGGGGCTTCACTGCTCGGTCCTGGTGGACCAGCTCCACTGATCTCCCCCAACCAAGACCCCAAGCTGAGATCACTGCCCCCCTGAGAAGCAGTACAGACATTGAACCTCTTCAGGTCCAAGGAGAGTGCAGTTTAGGGCCCCACTTACTGGAATACTGCTCCCCAAATGGGATCAAACCCCCAATGAATTACTTGGATAAGCCCTCTAACAATGCAAGGGGGAAGTACACTCTGATTGCTACCCCGGTAATATAATTATTTACACTGGGCTCGATAGTAAGTAAAAGTGAGGTTTAAGTACAAGCAGTAGGGTTTAAGTGTTAATAAGTAAGAACAGGCAGAGCAAAGTAACAAGACCGCTTAGCTAATTCTGACACTACAATCCTCAGCACAAACTTCTTATAAGGTCACCCTAGAATGGTCCCTTTTCCAGTAAAAGCCTTCTAAATCAGGGCGGACCCTCACCCTGCGTCTTTCCTTAGCTGGACACACACAAGGAGGGTGAACTAAAGACACCTATCTTCCTATTCTTTTTAAAGAATTCCCTTATTGCAGTGGTCCCCAACCTTTTGGGGCTGCCACGCATCCAGGAGGTGGGGCTGCTCACGCGCTGCGCACCCGGGGCCAGTGCCATGCACATGCCCTGAGCCACTTCTGCACACACGTAGGGCTGGATTAAGGGGGGGCTAGCCAGGCAGCTGCCCAGGGCACCAACCTATGGGGGGGCGCCTAATGGCAGCTGTAAGGAGCACCCCTTAGAGCTGCCATCAGGCACCGGGGGCCGGGAGCCGCGCATGCGCCGCGCGCCCAGGGGCCAGAGTGCAGGAATGGCTCAAGCTGGCCCTGGCTGCAAGCCCAGGGTTTAGGGTGCAAGAATGGTTTGGGCTGGCCCTGGTACCTCGATGGGTGCACATAAGTGCCCCGGCAGGTGCCATGATGCCCACAGGCACTGCGTTAGGGACCACTGCCTTACTGCATGGGGAAATCACCTGGCTGCTTCCTACCAACCACTGCTAAGACCTAAGGACAAAAGGCTATTTGCATATGATTGCCCAGACATTCAGGCCTCCCAGCAGTCGAATTACCCTTGATGGCTTTCCATTTACACATTTAAAACCATGAAGTATTCCCTACTCCACATCTAATTTTAAACAACTGATACATACTCCAAAATATGATAAACAGAACCAGCAGATTATGACATGAAGATTGATAAGTTACATGAAATAATTTGCTCAAGGTACCTTGAGTTATGTATATTTATGTCCATAAAAGTCCATTTCATAAAGCATGGGGGGGGAGGTGGGGAAGGGAGGTGTCCATCACAGAACAAAAGCAAAAATCCCATCACTCCCTGGAAATGGGTTTCTTTAAACTCAGTGGGAAAACACCATTAGTTCAGAGTTATACTTGCATGATCTGACAGCATAGTATTTGCATACTTATGGCTAGGTGAAAGCAATTTAAATGAAAAGCATGGTATTTCAATGCAGTGCCAGTTGTGCTAGCAAGTCACACCTAGTATAAATATTTTTAAATTCCTGATTCCTTGTTTTCAGTAAAGCTAAAGTCATAAACAGGAAAGCGAAATGCTCAGTATTGTTGTTCAGATGTCCAGGTAAGTGTCAGAAAGAAACAGGTTAAGTCTTTCAAACGTATGTGCAAGAGGCAAAAAAGAAAGTGTCATAAGGGGGTCAAGATACATTCACTCTGTTTAATTCACTGTTTAAAAAAAAAAAAAAAAAAAGTGAGATTTCCAAATTCTGTAATACATGCAGATTCCTACCTCCACAACTCTTTCAAACATGTGGGCGAGGGGCAAGAATGAGATCAGAACATCTTCTGTACTGACAGCGATTGATTTCTGTGAGGGAAATGCCAAGCAAGAGAAAAAGAAATAAATTGAATTTTCACAATAATTACAATTTGTAGCACATTTGCAACATTTTGCAGCTTTAGGACACATCCCAAACTCAGCTATTTTATTTGTTAAGAGTATTCTCAGCTTTTATATATTTTGCAGTTTTAGTCAAAGATAGGGATGTTATTTTACGTAAAAAAAGTTAGATGAGTTCTATCTTCTGGAGGTTAGTGTTGTGATATGTACAGTAGCCATTCAGAATTCTCCTTTTCCTTATCCTACAGAGGGGCAGTCACTTTTGGACAATTAAGTGTAGTCAAGTATTACACATTGAAAAGAACCAGATTACAGCTATGTTCCTTGGGTAGGAAAAGAAGCATTTATCCCATTCAAAAGCCCCTCTTCCCTCCCTCCCCCCATAAGTACACTAACAGCTAGCTAAATAAAGTACAGTAAGCCATGGTACTCAACATTTCCAGACTACTACTACCACCCCTTTTGTTTCATGCACTCTAAGTTCCACCTCAAACTAGTTGCTTACGAAAATCATACTTATACTTCTGTATTCTATGTATGCTTTGACAGGTGAGAGAATAAGCAAATTCAGTTATGTACAAGAATAGAATACTTTCCATGCGATACTTGAGCCTGTTTTTTTTCATTTGAGAGCCCTGTCTGAAGCCCAAACCTTGCTGTCCAAAGCTAAAGCATATAAAACTTTGTGAGGCCCAATGCAATTGCCAGGGCTCAACAAGTTATGGAAAACCCTGCCCACCAAACAAAAGGGACTCTCCACCCTCCCTCCCAAAAAGTTTTTTTTTTTTTAAATGGCATAAATTCCTAATAAGACTAAGAACAGTAATTACTAATAAGTTAATAAATATCTTATAAACCTCTACCTTTTCCCTCTGCTGCCATGTCTCCTTCCCTTGCTCCATCAGCTTCCCTGGTGCCTGCTGCCCCCAATCTCTCACCCTCCTCTGCTGTCCTGACTCCTGCCCGTCTCACTGCCCTCAGCCTTCCTGAGACCTGCCTCCCTCCACCAGCCCTTCTCTCCCCCCGTACCCACTCCTCCAGTAGCCCCACTCTGATCATGTGAGCTACCCCTCCTCATCCCTGCTCCTAATACCTCCCTCTACACACCTACCCTGCCTCTCTCCTCTGGTGCTGGTCCCTCCCCTGCAGGTGTCTGCCCTTGTGCTTCACCCCCAGAATCCCCTGACACCTGCACCCTCCTGGTGCCTCCCCCTTCCCTCACTGTCCCTGCCCCCTTTGTCCTCTTTTTCCTTGATACCTACCACCTCACCACCCTCTGCCCCGTTCCCCTCATGCCCGTGCCCTTACACATGCCTTGCTCCATCCCTGCCTTCCTCATGCCCCCCCCTTCTTTCAAGCCTTCTCCCAGCACTCCCCCTCCCCCCTTTAGTCCCCAGTGCCCTTACCCTCTCCTCTCCTAGCATCACCCTGTTCCCCCCCTCCCACTGACTCCTCCTCCCGCCCTTTTCCTCATTGTCTGCACTTGGCCCCCTGGGATTTGTCTCTCCTGCACCCCATCTCTTGGTGCCCTCCCTCTTCTCCTAACCTCCTCCCCTCCCCCCAGCCCAGCCCTTTCCCCAGGGCCAGCTCTAGGTTTTTTGCTGCCCCAAGCAAAACTTTTTTGGCTGCCACCTCCCCTTTTTAGCCCTATAAATAGCAAATTCATTTTCTTCCATAAAGGCAAGGCGCTTCAAGTGAACGCCCCCTTTCACTGCTGCTGGTTACAGCAGCCTTTTACCTGCCCTGTCCAGCCCCACCCTATGGACAAGCACCCTTCACGCCCGATCCACAGGGGGAGCAGGGTGCAGGGACAGCACAGAGCCAGAAGGATGTAGGGAACAGTGGGGCTGTACAGGGGTGGCATGGGGAACGGGAGGCACAGAACCAGAGGGATGCAGGGGGGGGGGAGAAGAGACAGGGAGCAGTGAAGACACGGGGAACGGGAGGGGCGAAGGGATCAGGGTCTGGGGCAGTGCAAGGAATAGGCAGCACAGAGCTGGGGGTATGAGGTGCAAGGGTGGAGCAGAGCCAGAGAGTCACAGGGAAGAGGGAGAGCAGGGAGTCTGGGATGCAGAGGAGGCACGGAGACAAAGGGGCACGGGGCAGGTACAGTGGGGCGGGCGGTCAACAGCGAGCGGTCTCTCACCAGCGAGGGGGCTGGGGCCGGGGCCAGGGCCGTGGCAGGACTGGAGCCGGTGGGGCAGGGCCTGGCTGCACCATGCGCCACAGCCAGCTCCCAGGGACACACAGCCAGAACCAAGCTGCCATGGCCCTTTAAAATTGGTGGGGCCATGTCCTGCTGGCATCCCTCCATCTGGCTCGCGCTGGAGCCAACGCAGGCACCCATGGCAAGAATCGCCACACTTCCCCCTCCCCGGAGGCACTCTGCTCCTTTGTCAGCTGGCGGATCGGATGGGGCCGCACCATGCATAGTACAGGCTTCAGCCAGCCTGCCCCTGCTCTTGCCAGCTGGTAAAATCTACTTGCCCCAGGTGTGAGTATTTGTCAAGCCCTGACAATTGCTATTTTTATTTCCAAATACCAACCCTGTACTTGAAGCTTCCTAAATCCGTCCTGCAAACCCTCCTCTTGGAGGAGGGGGTGGGGCAATCCCCAGCTTGAGAAACACTGATCTAGAGGAGTTGAATACTCACAGACCTCTGCATACTCAGGGGTTACACATACCACTGGCTGAGCACCAATAAGTAAACCGAAGTAGGGCACAAGCCAGCATAGTTCCGCAGTGTATTGCCTACAACACTGGTCTATTCTTGTCAACTCAAGCCAGCGAGTTTCTACTAGCAGGTAGATACTTCTATCATGGTAAAATTGTCCTACTGTTATGTTTCTACAGCCCCAAAACCTCCAGTGTTTTTGCATTAGTGTTTGCTCAAAGGCAGACATTTTATTGATGAGTTACCTTGCCATTTCAAAATAAAAAAATCTGCAATTTAATGTAGCTAGTTGGAGAGGCAACAGTATTCCAGGATGACTAGTTACTTCCATCAAATGGATGTAAGTGTTTTAGTGAGAGTTATTATATTTATAGTCTTAAACACCAGGAGGAAACCCAACAATTTACAAATTCATTATGAAGAGGACAGTGTTTGATTGTTCTCCATGTCCACTGAATGGAGGCCAAGTAGCAATCAGTTTAATCTGCAGCAATGGAAACTTAGATGCCAAAACCACCCTTTGTAATCTATTCCAGTACTTCATTATCCTTATAGCTCGGTAGATGATTTAAAGACAATTTCATCCAAGTATGGGGAGGAGGGACTAGATGACCAATCAAGAGACCTACATTTCCTCTAATTCTATAAATCCCGTCAAGAGCCCTTCCCCCTTCTTCTGTATTATGAATAGCCTTAGTAAGTTTGCACTAAGGCACATGGTTTCCAATTGCCAGACGAGGGAAAGAAGCCTTCCTGGACAAGCTTTACAGGCCAGTTACTGCACATCTGTAACTTCACACCCACGTCAAGGTAAAATAAAAAAAAAATTATGCATCTCCAAAACCTCAAGGTGAGATTTTGTGAGTGCTTAATGTTGAAACTAATCACAGATTTCAATGGAATCAGAGCAAACTAAGAGCATTTCTGGAATTGTACTGGCAGAAGAGTCCTCCTCTCCCAAAATAGTCCATACCCCAGTTCATTATTTTGCCAAGTTAATATTTAGAAATACTACAGTTTGTTGGATTGCATCCATATTTTCATGATCTTAAAATTGTTTGGTTTTGTAGTCACCAAAATTGGATTTTAGTCAGTCTGCACCCTAAACTGAAGATTTGCACCCAAAAGCAAGTATGAACAGTTATGCTTCTTGCAGGCTCATGCACTTGCAGCACCAAGCATATGGACCATAGAAATAGGGTGTCCAAACTCATTGGGTCAGCAGTAGTCTCCAAGTTGTAGTTAGGAAAACAAAGAAAGCTCTTTTATGGTCTGCTCTAGAGAACCAGTGGAAAAAAACATGCTACATATATTAAAATTAGTTTTACGGCCTGTTGTATTGCAAGAAAGCAGCGGAAAAAAAGCAATATGGGAAGCCATTGCTTGACCCTTTTTTAGGATTTGTTTTTAAGTAAAGAAAGGGTAAGAGCCTACGTGACATCCCAAATAGCTAAAAAGCTCCCCACATTAGGATAGTGAGAATTTGAACTGAAGTTAACTCATGTAGGTTTAGTGAGAGCTAAACTATACTCAGTCATTTTTGCAAGTGGAGACAAGTCTTCAGATGGGGAAGTTTCAGGGTATACACTTCAATTGTTCAACTTGTACTGCTACTCCAAGACCTCATTTACCATATAGTTAACTCCAAGACATCTAGAGGGGATGGATAGTTCAATGGTTTGAGCATTGGCCCACTAAACCTAGGGTTGGCAGTTCAATCCTTGAGGGGGCCATTTAGGGATCTGGGGCAAATTTGTCAGGGATGGCATGTGGGCAGGGGACTGGACTTGATGACCTTTCAAGGTCCCTTGCAGCTCAGATATACTAGTATCCATGTGTAGCAAAGTCTTAGGTATATCTCCACATATAAGTTACTGATCTGTGTAGAAATTACTGCAGTATATGGGTGGGTAATCTGTTAAAGGGAACTACATAAGAAAGAGGGATTACTGAATTTTTAGATGGAGTCAAGTTTGTAGCCTTACCAATCTCTTGCCTGAAAAAAAAAAAAAAAAACACCACTAAATAGCAGAAGCAAAATGCAGGACAATGTAGCACTTTAAAGACTAACAAGATGGTTTATTAGATGATGAGCTTTCGTGGGCCAGACCCACTTCCTCAGATCAAATAGTGGAAGAAAATAGTCACAACCATATATACCAAAGGATACAATTTTTAAAAAATGAACACATATGAAAAGGACAAATCACATTTCAGAACAGGAGGGGGATGGGGGGGGAGGGGAGGAAGGAAGGTAAGTGTCTGTGAATTGATGATTAGAGGTGGGGAGAGTGGGATATCTGTGAGCTAATGGTATTAGAGGTGATAATTGGGGAAGCTATCTTGGTAATGGGTAAGATAGTTTGCGTGTTTTGTTCATTCCTTCCCGGAGAGTGTCGAATTTTAACATGAATGACAGTTCAGAGGATTCCCTTTCAAGTGCAGATGTAAAGGGAAACCTCTGAACTGTCATTCATGTTAAAATTCGACACTCTCCGGGAAGGAATGAACAAACACGCAAACTATCTTACCCATTACCAAGATAGCTTCCCCAATTATCACCTCTAATACCATTAGCTCACAGACGTCCCATTCTCCCCACCTCTAATATCAATTCACAGACACTTACCTTCCTTCCTCCCCCCCCCATCCCCCTCCTGTTCTGAAATGTGATTTGTCCTTTTCATATGTGTTCTTTTTTTTTTAAATTGTATCCTTTGGTATATATGGTTGTGACTACTTTCTTCCACTATTTGATCTGAGGAAGTGGGTCTGGCCCACGAAAGCTCATCATCTAATAAACCATCTTGTTAGTCTTTAAAGTGCTACATTGTCCTGCATTTTGCTTCAGCTACCCCAGACTAACACGGCTACATTTCTATCACTAAATAGCAAGTTATCAAATCAACCACAGACCAATGAATTAGCAAGAGAAACTGATCTGATATTTTACTGTTTCTTTTGGAGATGAGAGCAATGATGAGTAATTTATGGAATTCTGTGTGCAGAATTGCCAGTTTCAGAACAGCTGACTTATACTGGTAAAGCATTGATAAGGTTTGTTAAGTAGTGTCCACCAGACTTTAGGAGCCTAAGAACTTAGCAAAATAGTGACTTGATATTTTTCAATACCATTTTTTCTGAAAATATTTTCCTCCTCATGGGCTAAGCCCTAACAATCTGGAAAGCACTGAGTGACTTAGCCTTGAAGTTTACCTCTGTAGCTTTCACAAAAGCTGAAGCATTGCTCACTATATTTTGATGAGTGATCATAGCTCCTTTAGGGTTTCCTAAAAAGGAAATCAATATTAAAATGCAACATTGAAGGGTTTCTGCTAATTAAATATCAAGTGAGATAGTATTCAGTATTCACTATATAACTTCTCTAGGGAAGTCTAGAAAGGGCTTTAATGGTTAGATAAACACTTGTGTCATAAAACAAAGCCTAATTGTAAGCAAAATTTAATAACAATAGAACTGCTAACAGGTTTGCAGTTAGACTTTGCCAGTTCTGTTCAAGGGATTCTGGAAAATAAAGGAAGATAAAAGGCCTGTAATATCTTTCATGTTTGGTAGAACAGCCTCAGATAAAGGATTTTGGAAAAAGAAAACTTGTCAAATTTAACACTGAAATCTTATGTTCAATACTACAGATTCTCTTAATGTGAATCTCAGGGGTGTCTCTAGACTACAGGGCTTTTTCGAAAAAACTTCCTATGTCTAGACTGCGGCCGTGTTTTCGAAAGTAAATGGAAAGGACATGGCAGTTTCTATGAGGAATAATGCCTTTTTTTCAAAAGTACTCTTTCAAAAAAAAAAAAAAAGTGCTATGGAATGCAAACTGCTTTTTCGAAAGTTTTTTTTTTTTCCCAAAAAAAAAAAAAAAAAAAAAAAAAAGCCTCTTTCAAAAGAGGCTTATAGTCTAGACATAGCCCCTGTGTTTGAAAGATGAGGGGTGAGATATTCTACTAAAGGAAACAAAATCTGAAGCTACTAAGAGCTCTTAGTCTTCTGAAAGAGCATTTTGGTCTCCAGGAATTGTTTGTCAAGCACTTCAACTTCCTATTTGCAGACCCAAAAATTTCTATAGCAAGCGTTTGCCATCTACCACTTCCTGCCCTAACAGGAGACACGCTGAAGCAGCAGGGGAAGCATTGAGCATGTAGCCTTCTAAATGATCTTTGTTTAAAAGAGTAAATACAGAACACCCAGTATAATTAAATGTACCTGTAGTTCCACTGGTGAAACAGATAACTGCTAGATCTTCTGGATTTGGAGGCTAAAGAGAGAAGTTAAGCATAAAGAGATTTTGCAGGGGAAAAACAGCCAGAGATGGTGATACATTGGTGCCTTAACTTGATCTAAAGACAGATATCATAGCTAGTAGATATCCATTCTCCTTTTGGTTTTTTGATACTTACCACAGGCTTGCGTCTGTGCTCTCTTCCCACCTCCTAAAAATTTTAGTAGACAGACATGAATAGGTAACTACAGTTTTCACAATATTTTCAAGCTATCCATTTAGTAACAATATTTTTCATTTATTCACCAAAATTCTGATCATGAAGTAATAAAGTTTAAGTGACATGAGCTTGTGGATCAGATAAGCAAAAAACAGCCTAAAAATGCTTCAAGAACACAGCAATAAGTTTAGTATCTTATTTATTAAGTGCTAAATAACCAGAGATCTATGGAATAAGATTAACTATGGTTTCCATTTTACATGTGGTAGAGGAGATATAAAACTCAGAATTTAGGTGACGTGCCCAACTATTCTAATCTAGTGGGCCATAATATGTTTGTATTCAGCATAGTCAACCTTTAATGCAACAGAAGCCATTTGACATACTGGAGAGAGAGAGTACTGTTTAGCATTATGACAGTTTTTACTTTTAAGTCACCATTACTACTTCTGCACTTTGTTTTCAAAACAGGGACTCGTGTCACATGTTTCCATCTATGGAGAGAGAGAGAGGGCACTTGTTGTGCTGCTGCCAGATACAGAATAGTGCCCATCATCATGCCAAAACCACTTAGGAAGACAAATCCACTATTCTAGCATGATATGGACTTCAAGGGTTTATGAATTAGAAATATGCTCCTCGGACTTTTGAATGGAAATGCTTAGCACAGCCTTTATCCCTGTGTACCAAGTGCTCCCCCACAACTGATTTTGACAGTTTTCCTATACAACAGCTCTGATGTGAATAAAAAGCAGTTACCAGCTGCCATTTCTTCCCTGACAGTGTTGTAACGGAGCAGAAAAGCACCACTTGCTTCTTTACTCAGGCTGTGGGAACTCCAGAAAAAGCAAGATAAGTGCTTCAACTTTTGGGCACTCCAAGCAGAGGCAGCTTCAGAACAATGAGAGTACAGGATGGGTACAACTCCTGCATTCTCAGCGAAAGCCCATGTTATAACAGCTTGGGGACTGTTCCAATTTACACTAGTTGACAGCTGTCCTCAAGAGTCCAGGCCATGTCAGGTTGAAATAGCAAGAGCATACTTCTCCATTTAGCCATGTTCTGTACTCCAGAGTTTGGGAAGAGAGCTTGCAGGTTGTTTCTGCTCCCTTTGCATTCTAATAGGAACATAATCTGTACCTCCTATTTTGACTGTGGCCCTATATCATTTGAGATTTCTGACCCTGAGGCTCAAGAGGCTGACACTAAGTTTGAATACAGGGCTGGGCAATAATTTTTGATGGGGGACCACTCCAAGAATCTGGAGAGTGGTAAAGGGCTGCACTCTTCCATGATATTAATGGAGGTATGGGGTCTAGAATGGGTGCGAGGAGCAGAAGGTAGCTTATGGTAAGGGATTGTGGGGTGGGGGGGTTTCTGGGATTTGGACTGTGACCAGGAGTAGAGGACTGAGGTTCAAAGTCTGGGAGGGAGTTGTGACTGGAGGAGGGATGTAGGGTCTGGAAGGGGTATGGGTTTTAGGGTTACACAGAGAGAGGGGAGTGGCTCCTCAGGAGCTGGTGCATGTGTAGAGCCACATTTTAAGCCAGCTCCCCTTGTGTATTGGGTCCCATTGAGCTGTCTGCCCTCTTCCCACCCCCCAGCATTTGGGCCTCTGGATCAGAAGCAGCAGTGCAGGAGGAGCTGGCTCCCAATGAGTACCAGCTCCACCTGCCCCACATACCTGTACCGCAGCCTCAGATCCAGAGTGATGGACTTTGGCTAAGCAAAGCAGAGAAGTTAGTCAAGACATGGTCTTGAGGTAATATATAGGAAAGGATAGAGGCTGCATAGAAAAGGACAGTGGAGTGGACTAGAAAGAAAAAGCCAAGACATTCAGGACACACAGTGTTGCCTATATTCTCCTGCCCTTTTGCCACAGAAATCTGTCATGGCTTCTGGGCATAAGAGACCCCATTTGGGAATATTTTGAAGAAATTGGTTCCGTATGTAAAAAAGGAAAAACGTGTCAAGTGTAAGCTGTTAAAGATGATGCATGGCTTATCTGCAAGAATGAACCATCCTAAGGAAAACTGCTTGTTGGGAGAAAATAAAGGAAGATGTGAATATGGCTGAGTGGGTCAACTGACTAGTACTTAAGTAATTCACTTTGCAATGCATCATTCTTCAAGACTCTCAATGCTTTTTAGTATAAATGTGACTGAAGTCAATTTTCAAGTTGTGTTGGATGTTGCTAAAAAAGTTTAGCTTAGCTTATCCTTATGGCTTAATTATACATACTCCTTATTTTGGAGGATCATGGCTATACACCATTATGGTGAGATCACAAATCTGTTTCCTCTTTCTTCAGCATAACTTAGCTTTTCCAAGGGATCCCTATTCTATACTTGTTCTCAAAAAAAACAAAGTGATAGTGAGTTCAATGGGGCTTACTCCAAACTTTAGTGCACTCTAAGCACAGTCAGCCTTACATTTTAAAATCACCAAAAAAAGTTTTTAAATCAAGTTACCAAAAAAGGTAACAAACCAAAGTGACTTAAAATTAATTATTTAAATCAATCCATCCTGGTATAAACCAGCCACCATTTAAGTTTTATTGTAGTTGGTACTTTATGAATTAGGACTAAGATAAAGAGACCACAGAATTGTTTGGATACAGGCAGTCCCCGATGTCGGATCCGCAGTTACGAACGGGGTTTGCTGCCCATCTCCCTGGTCTGCTGGTATCTAGCAGACCAGGGAGACAGGGAGCAAAGCCGCGGAGGACCCAGGCGGGGGGACCGCGATGCGTCTCGGTCCGCCGCCCACGTCTCCCTGGTCTGCTGGTATCTAGCAGACCAGGGAGACAGGGAGCAAAGCCGCGGAGGACCCAGGCGGGGGGACCGCGATGCGTCTCGGTCCGCCGCCCACGTCTCCCTGGTCTGCTGGTATCTAGCAGACCAGGGAGACAGGGAGCAAAGCCGCGGAGGACCCAGGCGGGGGGACCGCGATGCGTCTCGGTCCGCCGCCCACGTCTCCCTGGTCTGCTGGTATCTAGCAGACCAGGGAGACAGGGAGCAAAGCCGCGGAGGACCCAGGCGGGGGGACCGCGATGCGTCTCGGTCCGCCGCCCACGTCTCCCTGGTCTGCTGGTATCTAGCAGACCAGGGAGACAGGGAGCAAAGCCGCGGAGGACCCAGGCGGGGGGACCGCGATGCGTCTCGGTCCGCCGCCCACGTCTCCCTGGTCTGCTGGTATCTAGCAGACCAGGGAGACAGGGAGCAAAGCCGGGGAGCACGCGGGCAGCGGACAGCCCAGATGCGCCGCCGCTGTCCTGCTGCCCATGTCCTCAGAGGCTTTGCTCTGCCTCAGCAGACCAGGGAGATGGGCAGCAAACCCCGTTCGTAACTGCGGATCCGACATCGGGGACTGCCTGTAGTTCTAGATGTAAATATTAATGTTAATACCAAAACCTAGATCTTATCTTTGAACTAATTTCTGTATCTGCCCTGGAAATTTTGTAGACTCATTTAAGCATTGTGAAACACCACTAGTTGTTTATTTGCTAACAAGGATTTACTGTGTAAATAGGCATCACATCTTTAACCTTCACAGTTGGTTACAAAAGATTGTGTGACCGGATATCTGAACAGGAAGAATTGCTCTGCTGAATCCTCAATTTTCCATTCCAAGGCAGTTTACTGTTTACATCCAATATCACTTCTATACCCACAGAAGTACAATGAAGTAGGGAAGTCTTTAGTTCTTACCTCCAGTTCTCTCATGCTGAGTACTTCCACCCCACATTTCTTCCCACATTCTATGAGACCACTGTCAAAGGATTCCATGATAATAATAGTCTTGAGGGATGGATTTTCTCCCCTTTCCACATTATCCAATAGAAGCTTGGCCTTGTCAGATTGGTCACAGAAAACCAGTGCTATATCAGCTGAATTAGGAGAAGAGTGCTATCAGTTCAAGTTTGACTTATCTAGCTATTAGACATGTTTGTATCAGAGGGTTATTTTGACTAAGGCAATGATCATTTTCAGGGCCTGACAAACAATACAATCTACTCACCCAGGGCAAGTAGATTTCAGCCGCACACCCTGTTCATTCGCGGCACACCTTACGGGGCTGGCAAGCGGTTTTCGCCGCTGTTTGTCAAGCCCTGATCATTTTTACTACTCAAGCCTGTCATCTGATGTTTAGCTGCTGAGCAACTGAAAGACTCATACCTTTGTTCAAAATATAACTGATTGCAGCAGCTCCCAGCGTATCATAGAGTGGCACTGCCACCATGGAGTATGTGTAGCATCCCTGTTCAATGATAACCCACTGTGTAGAAAGAAGAGTGTAAGTCAATACAAATTTACTGATCCAAACAGGAGAGAGTGCTAAGACTCCAGAACTAAGGGATTCTGATGTTAGCACTCAAATACAGAAAACTCTAGTATAAAGCAGACTTGGAGATATTTGCTCAATAAGACTTGCTTGTTCTTTTAACTGTCCTTTGTTTACCCAGGAGAGCACAGATTGGTGGTTTATTTTCAGAGGAACCAACAAATAAGATAGTGCATCAATAGTTCTCAATTGCATGGAAGCAAATACTAGTGCTGGCACAGACCCCTGACACCCAAGAATCAGCCTTATCCTTCTGAAAGAAACAAATTCTTTCTGCTTTCTAGCTTCTGCTTACATACCCTACATGCAACCATTCTATTCTAGTCTCCCTCATTCCTTCCTTTTGATTCAGCCTGTCATCCATGAGTGAGAGCTTTATAGGTGGGAACACAGGATTTCTACTCACTCAGCACGTCGAACGGTCATGGCATGGCACCCTTTTGTATGAACCAATCACTCAAGTGCTTATCACTCAGTGCTGGCTGTTGCAGTCTCATAATGGTCAGGCGTATGGGAGCCTTGAAAAAGTTTAGCACACTGAAGCAAGCCAATCTAGTTTTGTCTGAAGTGTACTACTAATCGACTCTGCACCTTTGGAAAACAGGTTGGACTGAGTTATGAGAAGACAGAAGTCATGACCCTAAATATTGAAGCACCAGCATCAGTTAAGATCAATGGCCAGGACCTATCGCAGAGAGCTTTACGTACTTGGGTAGCATTATCAGGCAAGATGGAGACATCAGAAGCAATATCAAGAGCAGACTCAGTAAAGCCAGAAATGTCTTCATGAGTCTGAATGCTGTATGAAAGTCAGCATCCATACTAAACTGAAGTTTTCAGACCTGTGTTTTATCAATACTATTATATGGATCAGAATGCTGGCAGATGACAGTACAACCTCGATAAATTGTTGACTTTTCATACTAGAAGTCTTCGGCGGATCCTCATTTTTTGGCCAAGAATAACTGCATGGTGCAAGCAAGATGACATGGCTTCTATCATTATGAAAAGACACTGGAGATTGACTGGGCACGTGCTCAGGAAAGATGGAAGCCCCATCAGAAAGACTGCTGTGCACTGGACCCCTGAAGGGAAGCAGAAACGAGGACGACCTAAGTAACATGGCGCCGACTGCTGAAGTAGAAATGAAGAGCATGAATCACACTTGGGGCACTATTGAGAGGCTGACTAGAGAGACAGAAGTGGAAGTCCTTTGATGCTGCCCTATATGCCAGTGGGCATGAAGGGTGATGGATGCACTACTAATAACCCAAATGATCACAGTTCCCTCTTGTAATGGAGGCTTTCTATTGCTTTGGGGATTGTGATCACACATACCACTTCCATAAAACGGAGTCCAAATGGGGAGAGAATACCTAGTTAGTAGGGAACCATTCTGTAGTAAAATCAGACCTAAATATATGCCCACCTGTGCAGAGCTCATCACCAAACAAATGGACCATATTGCAAGTTAAAGTTGGAAGAGAGTACCGCATATTAACTACATATCCCAGCAACCCCAACAGCTATTACCTTCTTATGCTCAATAGTTTAAGCAGAAATCATTAAGCATCCTTGTACAAGGTAGATATGCACGTACAAGGCTCTCTAAAAACATGACAGTGAAAGTTGTTCATTAATGAGTACCAGTGATACGCAAAACCCAGGTACCTATGCCAAATTCTAGGCTTTGTGATTATAGCACAAGATGAAACTCACTGGCTTTTTTGTGCCTAGAAACAAAATGACAATAAGTCTTCTAAATACTCTGAGTTAGTCCTACAATAGGATTTGTAAGAGATTTGAGATCTTTAGTGTCCACAATTCCCAGTTTGTGATGAAAGCAGCAGGCATCTTTAAAGTTTCTGAAACTGGATCCATAATCCTAAAAGTCTAAGCTTTCACTACTGCAATAATTTTGGGAAAAACCTCCGTGTTTGCAGAGGAAGTTGGCCAGTTTCTTGGTTCCACTTATTCAGGCAATGAAGTATGTATAAAACTGGTTAATCTCCTCACATTATTCTATATACTTCCCAGGTTGCTCAACCTCAAGCCTTAAAGCTTTTCCTAGACAAACCTTTAAGTCAAGCAAAGCTTTGTTTCCTATATTAATGGTACTATCTATTTCAATACTGAATTTCTTTTTTGAAAGGAGTGTGATAAATTGCATCATCTTTCCATGCTCATGTTCCCATTTTCCTGTAGAAAGTTTCAGTATACTGACTTCTGACAGTTGATCCCAAATTGTTCACAGAATAGAGGCTACCTGCTAGATTAGTCTTGCAATACTATCAAGCCATCTTGATAAGGGCGCCTGAGTGTTGCAACCTTTTATACCGATAGTTTCAAGTTTTCTGAAAGTAGCCTCCACTTTAGTCACTATGTTACAAGGTTACTTTTACAGTGGATTTCAAAGTGTTATTGCATTAAATGCCAGCAGAATTCAAGCACTTGTGTTAGGCTAATAGAGGGGAAAGTTTCTCCACCACACCCTAGAGTTAGGCCAATCTTAAAATTATAACCTTCAGTCCTGACACTAGTTCCTAGCTGTGCACAATGGAGGATAGCTTGTATGGCAGTAGTGGGCAATAAAATAGTGATAATTCCCCACAGTTAGTCCCTGGTAGGCCAGCACCACTATATGTACCTGCACTTCTCAATGTATGGGCAATTACAGCTCCTGTTGGCTGCAGATCACCATTCCTGGCCAAAGGAGCTACAGGAAGTGGCACAGACCAGGACAACACTTCCTGCAGCTCCCATTGGCCAGGAAGGGTGATCCACAGTAAGGATGTTAAGTAGCACATAATTCACTAATCAAATAGTCGATGAAAAATTAGATTAGTTGATTGGGTTGTGCTATCGCTTTGAACCACTGTTTCTCAAAGGGGCAGCACCGCAGGAAGCCTGGGCCCAGCTGGGTTCCATGTGGTGCTGCCACTTTGAAGTACCATCCTTCTTCCCCCACCCCCTTGCTGCCTCTATCCTGTTGACTATCCAATAAGCATTTGCTTATTAGATAGTCAATTAGCCCTGAACATCCCTAATCCACAGCCAACAGGAGCGGTAATTGCCTGTTCCTGTGAAGGTGCAGGTAAATACAGCAGCACTAGTCTGTCAGGGGCATATGCTGGGAACCAGATCCACACACTGCGGTTGAATGAATATACAAATAAAATGTTCTATTTCAAAAGGTTTCAACTCTGTAGGCTTTAAATGTCTTCAGAATATAAATTCTTGATAAACTATCTGAATATAGAGTTACAAAATAGAGATTTCAATAGTTTGCAAGCATAAAACACATCTATGTTGACAGAGGAGCAGCGGAGATGATGAAATCTGTAATACACACAATTACTGACAAACTCAGTTTGATCACTGGGTTCCTCTTTGCCCAGTTATTTTAGGGATTTTATATCAAGCATTCCATAAACTGGTAACAATGTCTTCAAGACATCTGACTCCAAGAAGGCCATGCCAGCTTCCTAAAAATTGGATGAGGGGAAGTTACAGAAAGCTTAAGTGAAACTTTTCCAGCTCACTGATGACCTAATTAAAACACCACCACCACAACTCTTCAGAGACCAAGATACATCGTCCCAAAGCAAACTGCATAGGATTTGTCCAAATGTCAGGAGATAATGAAAGGCAAAGATGTCATTTGTATGCCACAAGAGACAAGGGCAAGATGGAGCACTAAATAAAGATTACTTCACCTGCCAAAGGCTTCTCCAATACCCCAGTTGCTAAAGGCTGGGGTGTTTTCATCTATATTGAAAAGTGTGGTTACAGCACAAATAGATATACATTCTGACCAATCCCCTTGAGGAGAGGAAGTCAAACTGCAAGGGTATTCTTGTCTTAACCAGTCTTCTCTGATACCAAGAGTGGACAATAATTTTTAAAAGGGGGCCATTTCAGAAATTTATGAAGTGGCCCCAAGCGACCCCTGGGTCCTCAGGCAGAAGGGGCGGAGCCAGAAGATCTCATACTCCCCTGCCCAGACCTAATTGGCCTGGGACTGGGGAAGTATGTGATGTCTTTGTCCCCAGCCTCTAGAGAGACTTGCCAGTTGTTTTTAGAAGAGATTGTGACTCCCTCTAGATGTCACAGCAGGGGGAAGACTTTGTTCACTCCCCCTGCCCTGCTTGCTCTCTACCTCCTCCCTGCCAGGGTATGAAGTTCTCAATCTACCAGCTGCACATATTCTCCTTTGGATGAGGACCTGAGCTTGCTTTCAGCTAATCTGAAGGCAAAATCCAAGATACTGCATTTGAGAGAACAGATTCTACACAGAAATGGCAGGTATTCATTAAGATTATAATCTGTGATATTGCAGCATGAACTGACACTTGTGTACGTCACAGCATTTAGTGTTTGCCTAGGAGAGGACAGCAATTCCCCAGATATGCTAAAATCAGTTTCAAGACATTAGCGAGCACAAATATGGCATACAGTTTTGTATACACCAGTTTCTAAGAGTCTTAGATATTAATTCAAGTTCAAATGAAATACCCAGATTTAGAGAGCAACCCAGATCTAGAGGGCAACAAACTAGCAATGAGGAATAGGTCTCCTATCCTAGGAGAGGACAGCAATTCCCCAGATATGCTAAAATCAGTTTCAAGACATTAGCGAGCACAAATATGGCATACAGTTTTGTATACACCAGTTTCTAAGAGTCTTAGATATTAATTCAAGTTCAAATGAAATACCCAGATTTAGAGAGCAACCCAGATCTAGAGGGCAACAAACTAGCAATGAGGAATAGGTCTCCTATCTGAAGTGTTTGATGGAACAGCTGGCGACATGTTAGGCCCACTGGGATTCTCTACGCCTTTTGAA